CAAAGTAGCGTGTCAGAGACAAGGATTAGTCTCACGGTATAAGCACCACAAATTAACCAAGAGTTTGGTTAAAGCACTCTTGCTACAGACTGCATTGCACCCACAGAAAGATGCTGACCAAAACCAGCCTTAATTTAAGCTTCTCCCAGGTTTTCAGCTGAGCTAAAAGTTTGATACACTTGTAAACTATAAAAGCAGGAACAGAACACCTAGCTTCTTATTACAGTAATTAACGAAAAGGATTACACCAGCAGCCCAACCACCAGAAGCCATGCAGGGCTCCCCTCAAACCAGAGGGGTCAGACATCCCAATCCTGCTATTTCATCCATTGGTGGTTTGTTCCCTACCGCATGTCTGCAACTGTGCAAAATCCTCCCAAACGTTAAAAATCACTTCCCTTGGGAAGCGACGTGTGCCTGCTAAGGATCAGCCCAGATCCCCATGTCCTGTGTGGAACATAAAATAATCCTGCCCCATCCTGTTCTTCTTTCTACCCCTGGCTAAATCCCACTCAAACATGCCATACAACTTCTGTTCCTCCTGGGTATTTTGGCAGGAACCGCGGAGGTAATCATGGTGACACGGCTATTAACTGTTTTCTTCCAAAAAAAGCTGCCCCTAAACTCTGGAGTAACACAGTGAGGGCAGAGAATGCAAAAAACAGCACAGAGAAGTTCAGGAAAAGGAGTGCACCGATCTAGAAAAGCATGTGAAACCTCAGCTCTTCAAGTACGTATGAAAGCTTGGTTTGAGTTTCAGTGAGGGCGGAGAACACTCCTGATTACATGCCGTCCCTCAGCAATCCGTAGAACAAGCTAATGCTGCAATATTGCTATATTATTATGGCATTAAGTTATTACACTATGAATGGAAGCTTGATGGTATGCCAGAGAACTGGCAACACGGTTTTTTAATTAACCTGTGCTGTCAGGCAGAAGCTCAGCCCCTCCCTTCCTGTTTTTTGTAAGAAAAAAAAAACCAACACCCCAAAATAACAGTATTTGAGGAAAAACCCATCAATATCTCAGATTTTCCGCATTTGATACTCAAGAGACTATGCCTGTTCAGTTACCTGTTCAGTTACCAATAATTCAAACGTACCAGAAGTAGCTTTTCACCTTTAAAGCATTTTCATTTCTTAAACAAAAAAAACCATAAAGATACCCTTCAGGAGCATAAATAATCGATGTCATTTGCTCGCGTCTTACAGTTGTGCGACAGTTTTGTGACTAATGTGAAGTTTGGGGAACTCCAGTATCTCAAAATAGCATTAAAAAGGGGAGATAAGAAAGAATCTGGACATCATGCCTATGGTACTAGTTAAACTGGTTACACAAGTATGTGTGGTTCAGGGGGAAATTATCCAGCTGCTTAAAGGCTGTGTTCAGTATGGCTACAAAATCCAGAAGACAGCTTTTTCATCCCAAACCTGCTTCAAATTGGTCTACAGAAGAGCCAGCCCAGGCACACAAATGTGAAAAAAATAAGTGTATTACTACCTGTGGACACATGCAACTACCATCTGTCAAAAGAGGCCACAAACATTCGCCAATTCCAACACACAGCCACACCTGCACGGATTAAAAAGACCTGGAAGGAACTGCTTAAAAACACATGCTTTCACACTATCTATGTTTTGTACAGTAAGTACAATTCTGCTTCTCTCACGGACAAGAGTATTTCTACAACGGTGCAGCAAGAAAATCACTCTGTTGGTTTCTAAGTTTGTACCTCTTCTGGAAAATTTTCATTGCAACCACATCAGATTTATGAGAAACTCTATTTTCTGTGCATTTACCTCATTAGCAAATTTCACTGAGATCGCCAAGTAAGTCAAAACCACCTTACTAGCTCAGATGCAGTCTAGTTCCACGGAAGGATGACCTTTTGAACCTGTGCAAAGGAAGCCGACAATTTTAGTAGGTTCTACTAGACAAAGAGAGTGTTTTAAATTCATTATTCAGAGATCTGAACAGCACTTCGAATGGGTGCATGTTCATGTACTGCTGGCACCCAGAGAACCAGGCAAAACTGGCCTCTGTCATCAGTTCAGGCGGTATTCAAGCATTAAATGACTGTTATACTAAACGGTATCAGTAAGATTAAAGTAAGATTAAACTAAAGCCTTATATAAACATATGTTATAGGCCTGTTACAGACTTCTAGGTCTGCTCCACATATATAAATAGTTCCAAAGAATAACATACAGGTAACTTAGTATCTTAAAATGAGAGTCAATTGCTTAATGCATAATTTATAGCAATATTTCAGCAGCATTTCTTTTCTGAGCTCTTCTGCATACTCTTGTTGCAGCCACACCTGCTCCTTTTAGTCTTCTCACCTTTCTAAACTTGTGCAAGCCTCGAGCAGCCTGTCAACCAGCCTCCCTTTTTCAGCCAGCATTCACTTACGTGGTTTTTCTGTAGCCTGACATACGGGCAGGAACACAGACACTGAAAGTGTAGGACTCATTTTTTTCCCTAATGCTAGTTCATGCATTAAAAAAAACCAAAAACCAAAACCTTAAAGCACAATATATATTTTACTTTGATGAATTTTAATACCCTCCTGTAGTCAGTACAATTAATTGTGAGTTAAATAACTTAATTCATTTTCTCAGAGCCTTCTTTTTCCCATTTAAGTAATCACAAGCTTGAAAGGATCAAAATTTCTGCCAAGATTTAGCAGATACAGTTATGACAGCAACTGGTAGACTAAGTCAAACTACTATAAAGACGAGTTAGTTATTAATAACTTATCTTCCTACTGTAAGATTTGTTTTCAAAATAGTATGATTTGAAAATGAAATTAAATTCATCTTTGAAAAACTGGTAAGATTTAAAGATCCCAACAAACATCACAGTACTGTCTTTCCAATTGCTCTGAGCAGAAAAAACAGAAGTCTACTTGAATGGATACTCTACAAAAATGTTGGGGTTTATTTATTCATTTATTTAAAAGACCCTTCCTCTGATTGAAATCTTTCACTGCTACAAGAGAGGCTGACAGTCCATTAATTAAATCTCACAACAGTAAAGTAATTCTTTCCATGAATACGCACTGTAAGCAGAGCTGTACACCTTATACGCCCCAACCCTCATTTTTTCCTCTCTATATTTTATATATCGGTATTGTTTGCCATTTTTATTTCAACAACAGATGTGATTTCCAAATATAGGTAATTTTCTTCAATGTCCTGGTAGACAGGGAGATGTCTCAGGAACATGTTCTGTTTTAAACCTAGTAAACCTAGTTTCAAGTTTCTCATGTGCCAGTTAACTACTCTTTCCTTTCCCTCTGCTCTTGAAGATGTAAACATCTAGTAAAAACGATTCTGTGCACCATCTCCCTGTACCTGAGCACCACCACTTAAATTCTTGCTCTAATTATCAACAACAGGCATTCAGCGATTACTTTTAAATCCAAGGTTGCAGCACCCATCTTTTCAGCCGCTCTACCTCAATAAAAAACTGTGCTTACTTCAATTTTTCTTGCCGGAGTTTGTTGTGAACAGAATTCTAAGAACTCAAGGCCAGCAAACGCAATTAAAACATAAATACCGAAAGCTTTGCAAACATATAATGGGTGTTGAAGATCTCTGTAGAAACAGTCAAACAAACTACTGGATCAATTCAGCACAGGCACATGCCCTACTTTTACTAATGCTTTTGAGTACCTTTAAAATAAAAAAGAAAAGCTATTTGAATCATTAAGACAAGCTGTAGTTATTTTATCATTGCTCTAACCTTCAGAAGCCCAACATGTTATATATATATTTTACAAGGAAAAAAGTTTTAATCATCTTTGTTTCATTAAAAAAACCCCAACAAAACAGTATTTCAATAGAGAATTCTCAAACAACAATATGAAGAAAATACTAAATACTCTGAACAGTCTTCATGTTTTTATGGCTTTTCATAAATCAGAGCCCTCAAATTTTATGGGCAAATGCCAAATTTATCACCTGAAAGGCAGCATAACTTTTCACTCTTCAGTTAACTCCAAGACCTTAGCTAACCAAGACAATTAAGCAAGAAATGTGACTTTTTCTTTGCTACTGGAATTACCTTAAACTTCCACCAACCCAATGCTTTCCTACCGCACTAAAAGGCAGGATAGATATTTTGACATTCATATAAAACCAACACAGAACAGAAACAAGCTGAGATGCAGGTGGCACTTGATAGACCATTGATAGGCAGTTAACCTGCTACAACACAAGATGGCTAGGAGTGATGCAAAGTTAGTTTACCACAGAATGGAGTAACAAATAGTAACTGCACTGGGCAGTGTCTGCAGGATACCCTTTATTCTAACGTTCTTTCACCAAACAAGAGAGAACTGGTTAGAATTACTGCTGAAGCCTCGTTGTTCTTCCATTGTAAACTGTATTTCTCCTCCCTCCCTCACAAGTCCCCGTTTTTAAAGGAGCCCCACTACCTACGAAAAGCAACTTATAGAGAGAACTGGTTAGAATTACTGCTGAAGCCTCGCTGTTCTTCCTTTGTAAACTGTATTTCTCCTCCCTTCCTCACAAGTCCCCGTTCTTAAAGGAGCCCCACTTCCTACGAAAAGCAACTTAAAACTTCTCAGAATGCAATTGCGTCACTTGAATCTCTCGCAAATCTCCCTCCTTTCAGGGGGAAACAATGTGCTGTTGCTATTTTAGGTTAGAATTACTGCTGAAGCCTCGCTGTTCTTCCTTTGTAAACTGTATTTCTCCTCCCTTCCTCACAAGTCCCCGTTCTTAAAGGAGCCCCACTTCCTACGAAAAGCAACTTAAAACTTCTCAGAATGCAATTGCGTCACTTGAATCTCTCGCAAATCTCCCTCCTTTCAGGGGGAAACAATGTGCTGTTGCTATTTTATGGTCCTCAGCGCCCAGTTTTGGAGGACATCTTACAGGAATCTATCTTCCCTTTGCACATCTACTGAAGAGGCCTCTTGTCAAGCCAACATTCCAATGAAGAGTGGATGCTAATCTCCAGATTTCACCAAGTTTGTCTCCTTAACAAGAACAGGCTGGCAGTCCCTATTCTTCTGTTGTTTGCTTTGTTATAAATGCCTCAATTCTCCTCCTCAAGATTGTACAGTTGCTGCCAGGTGGCTGGGTAGAATCACTAATGTACAGCTTCAGGTGAGTCAAAAATAAATATTACAAATTTGAGCAATCATTTCTCCATCCCTCCGCCAGTCAGTAGCAGCAATAACTGGTACAGACCCATCAGTGTTCCACTACAAGACAGATTTTCAACAAACCTTAAATGTTATCAATAAAGCACAGTTCAGTTGCTTTCTTGATTAAAGTGCATTAGAGTTCCTGTTTCTCTCCACTAACCGCAGCAGAGTCAGATGCAACGGGAGCTTTATTGCTTGCAGCAAAAACAGAATCAAAAGCAGCCTCCTGCTCCTCTAAGGTCACAGCAGCAGCGGATCCTCTAACAGATGGGCTGGTGAAGGCTGGCCGTTGCTCGACAACCCTCTCCAGGTCCACTGTTTTCCTACCTCTTCTTTTGCCCAGGATTTTGATGTAATTAGCTGGCACAAGTCCTGTTGTTTGGCCATCGTAACTAGCCAGAAGCCAACCGCGGATCTTGGGTTGTTGTTCTGAAGAAGAAAACGCAAACCCGTTAAGTTACAAAACAATGTAATATATGTTACCATCGAGGCACAAACACACCAGAAGGTAGATGACACCACAGCTCATCACGCAAAGAAAATAATTCTGTGATCAAAGGCAAATACAAATTACTTTGCAAGAGAAGTGACTAGGATCTGCAGTGGTGAGGTGAGCTGAACAGTACTGTGAAGTGCAAGTTGTTTTGAAATTGATGACACCACCACACTGCAAAGTTTAGGCAGCATCATATCTTAGGGAAATTGAACAAAACTACCCCGTCAGTTTTACCACAATGCAAGTAATAACTTACAGAACAAAAAAATCAGCGTGGATGATGAGTTCAGTCAAATAAAGCGGTGGGGTTTTTTGTTTTCATTTTCAGACCCTAACAACGTGACTTATTGCACATATCATTAGAAAATAAATTCAAAATTAAATTTACCTTTGGGTGCTAATTTTAGCATGTCACCAGCACGGAAAGAAATTTCTTCTTCCGAGAGTGCACTGAAGTCATATTCTGCTCTCCCAACTACATGATCATCTTCTCCACTCGCCCAGTTACTCGATACTGTTTCCAAAAAGAAATTAAAAGGTTACTTGCTCTGAATTACAAAGCATTGGGGTTTTTTAAAGGAAAATGAAGAAAGCACCTTAACTTCATTGCTAAAACTTTTCCAATAGGGAACTGACAGGAGTAACAACCAAAGCATGGTTTGTTGAGTCAATCCAACCAATACTTCCCCACCCCCAACTGCCACATCTCATAGAAAGGAAACAGAAACAGACAGGAGCCATGATTTTGGAATCACACAAAGCTTACCATGAAACCACATGCTAACTCAACAACAGGCCACTTAAACAGGCTGCTACTTGTACCACATGCATAAAATCCAGTATTATATTACTGTAATGCAAGATTAATTGCTATACAGGTGACAACAAGAGGAATGCACTTCTCGTGTGCTGCAGATCATCTTTACCTGTTTCTTCATCACTGTATGTAGAAAGCAGTTTCCAAATCAGATAGGGACCTCCCATTATAACAGCAAAGAACAAGAAAATAGGCCAGGATTTTGCAGAGTTAGCTGCCTTGTCTTCAAGGCCAACACGAGCTACCGTCCCCTCACTTTCAGCCCACAAATCCTCATTCTCGGAGCTCTTCCGCAGACCCAGTAATCGTTGCAGACGTTGGTAGAGGTATCTTATAGTTCTCACTAAAGCGAAAGCTGAAAACACCTTTGTGAAGTGTACTTTGAGGCGGGAGAAGTGATTGGCTACATCCAACACCGCTCTGAAACTGTTGTACACAGCTGAGAAGGTAGCATCCATCATCATGCTGACTGAGGCAAATGCATGCACAATACTTTCAATGGACTGAAATGCCCCTCTGCTTAACAAACCTGCTGGGAGGAATATCATCTGTACGAAAGCGGTTATAACCCAAACCACCATATCCGTAACTGTAAGGGCTATAGCTTCCATAAAAAGAGGTTCCATATGAACTGTAGCCTGGAGAAAAAGAACTACTATATGCTGGCCTGAAAGTGCTCAGACTGCTGCTTCCCGTTTGCTGTGAGGGTCTTGGCAAAATCGGTGGAGGTATTCGTGCAACTGTAGGCGGTCCAGGCCTGGTCAGCAGATTGTCACCCAAGTCAGCAGACCTAAACGAATTCAGACAAGCAAGATCAGTACGCAAAGTAAGTTTATATTTTCATTTCCCCAGAGTTCTTGGTTAACTATATAACTAGGAGAGTACGTTTCAGTAGTGCCAGGGTGGGGAACCTGGTAGCCAAACACTCATTATGTTGCAAAACATCTGTGGGCAGTAAAAATTGTAGTCAGGTAGTACAGGTCTTACGGGGGAAAAAACATGATGAGATAATTTAGTGTAAATATGAAACCACAGTGTATCTGAAATGTACACATGGAAAAACTTTCAGTCTCTTTATTGTATTGTCTAAGAAAGCATGAATTGCTACATCTATGCCAATCAGGCATAAAATCACCTAAGTCATTTTTCTGCACACAGGAGCCTTTCATATGAGCTACCAAGGGTATTTGAGCTTTGCACTCTAAAAGATTTATTTCCAATACTTGTTCTCAGCCCTTCTCTATAATGACCCAACAATACAGCAGGAAAGATGTCTGAGTACTCTTTGAGTCCATCTTTAGAGAAAAGGGCGGTGTCACCTATTTGAGACTCCAAGTGATTATGTAACATACACAAGGGCTTTGCATCCCTGGATTTCCCCCTCTCCCCGAACTATTTTATTACCTTTATGTAGCATGTCTAAGGCTAGAATCTATTAATCCTGACAGCCGGGATAAAGAGGTATTATTAATTGAGTATTTGGTTTTAATTTAGTGAGTTTCTATTCCTTCATATACCCTAAGTTTAAGTCATTTTATCTACGCCTTTTGTAATAAGGCTCTGCAAATACCAGACTGGTATTTGAATTTTGCAAAGCAGCTGTCCAACTTTTGCTACCTCATTAAAAAGCTAATTGCACACTATTATCTTAAGAGACAAACATTTTGGTCATTTCCCATATTTACTGCCTCATCCCATGGCTTCCCACTTCCGCAGTCCACTAAATTCACAGGAAAAAAAAAAAAGAAGTCAAGTTTGAATTACTACAGAGTGGCTTCTTTCTGCATTGCTTTCAATGAACAGCGTGCTTGCTGCTCTTTCTGTATAAGGTAGGGAACTACTTCCTTTCAGCAAAACTTACAGGCTTCCACAGCAAAGAATAATATTTATATCGTCGCACTGTTTGGTTTTTACCTCAACAGTTAAAAACAAGCAAAAAAAAGTTATGACAGAAAACAGAGGTGCTGTAACTCAGAAGTCACACTACCCCCACCCTTCCCAATAGTCAATTTAGGAGGCCTCACTTTAAAGCTGCTTGAAGCAAACTAAACTGAGCCAGATAATCCCAACAAAAAGAATTAACATCAAACTGCTTGCTCAGGAAGCATCAGCTTGCAGGGAAAGCAAAAAAGGCTCTGTTGCATGTCTAGTCTTGGTCTAACCTTTTGCCTGGTTTCAGCTCACCCTAATTGCAATTGCTAGCACCAAACGAAAAACAAGACTGATCATCAAGCGTCGCGTTTCCCTCAACTTCTGATAAAAAGGAAAAAGTTTACACTCTTTGTACAACACCCCTTATCCGCGAGCAGGTTAGATTTTCTGGAAAAGCTCAGATTCCCAAGCGAACACACCAATAGACACACACGTCTTTTCCGGTTCCTGAGGACGACACCACACGGAGGCACCCACGCTTGCACGGCTTCATAACCCCCAGGGAGAGCCACACTTTGTCCACCCGTGGCAGCGCACACGGCTTTACCTTCAGCACATAAACACGCAGCTTGCTGCACACACAGGTAGGGCTTTACACCG